TGGTCAGTTGATATGTTTCCTCTCATCATTCCCTGCCAGTTTGGTGGGGCCAACCATCTGATATGAATTATCTAGCCAATAGCTAACAACAGCAAGAGTACTGATCTGTGATGACTGATCTCTGCATTTGAGCAACCATAAGATACATATTCAGTTGCAACTACCACAGAATACTTATAGGCCATCTCAGTTTATGCCTAGACATTGTGGCAAAATCCATAGTCACCAGGTAGTCTTTCTACTCCGAAAGGGTATGCCATCAAGCATCAGAGAGTTGATCGTATTTCCAACAATTCAGCCCAGTGATATGGAGATTGAACACTGAAGACTGAGGACTTAGAAGTGATGAACATTCTAGGCAATATCTCCCAGTGACCTGGTTCATGGACTAACAATCTCAGGTGATGAAACATGCATGGAATACTTGGCAAAGTGCAGGGGTGGTCTCCAAATCTAAGTTTGAGCATGATCACTGCATATCCCTTCAAATCTAAATTGAGTTCAGCAGACGTATCATCTTCTTTCCTTTGATATCTATGTGATGATTGGAAATGTTATGACATTTTCCCCTTTCATAACTAGCAAATACGGTATCATCATTTCTGTATATTCAGGAGATTTTCCTAAATTTTCTTACGACATTCTAGCAAGCTGGATGTGGAAAGATCGTAAACTTCCACACAATCCTCTATAGTAAGTAAAGCTTACATAAAACAATGCTTTTTCAAGAGGACTTACTCGCTTGGCCCTGTTTCTGTACCATAACCTCCTAGAGTGGAGTCATACTCATTACAAAGGGTGGCATATGGACTTGTACAAGCTAGTGTGAGGTATGATTCCATTTAATATGTTTAATGGGAATTATCATTGACATTCGTAATATAAGGATTGTGAGATACTGCATTATGACCTTGGTTTGACTTAACAGCGTGATATATTCATTATTCTCGATCTCGTCTTGGTCAGGTGTGGACATATTTTTGTTGTTGTTTTTTCATCCTTGCATCTGGTCCAACAGCCAGTTAAGTAAGGATCCATTCACTGTATGAACAAATATCTGTTTTATTAGTTCATTTGTGTTTGTTTCAAGTTACTTTGTTTTTTTTTAATTTAAAATAATTCTCCATATAAACTTTCTGGAACCTACATTTTGTGGATATACTGATATCCACAAGAAAAGTCAAGTACCTGAATACCACACCGTAAAGAAACTAGAAGAACAGAAACCAGGGGGACAAATTCAAATTATTTACCTTTACACATTCTTACTGAATCCTGGCTACATCACTAAAATAGTTATATTTAACTTACACTGTGAGAAGATTAATTAGCCAAGAGATAGTTGGATCCCTTAGATGACAATAGGATTGAAGGATTCAGTAAGTAAGCGTGGAATTAAAAACGGCATGTGTGACTAAATCGAGAGACAGAATTTCACACAGTACACTTCGAGAAAAACAGTTGAAAACTGAAATGAAGATGATCAAAACGAAACTGAAGCTGTATTAAAGAACTGAAATTAAAGTGAGCTGAGTTACGATGGTCAACTAACAGGATAAAAACAAACTCCATTGCTGATTGAATATTGGAGCATGACTGGCTGAAAACATACAGAGAATCATCAAGCAAGACCGAAGAGTCATAGTTTAACCAGTCAGTTCAGCACTATTAACTCCCTACTTGTGACAGTTGTACGAAGAGCAATATGAAAGACACAAGCACTGTCTCGTGTAAATGACCGGTTATTAATGTGTATGGAAATGTTAATTGCCATAAACTTAACAATCCTAGAATAGCCTCCCAGGTGTCTTTAACAAGTTAAGTGGTTCCCACAACATAAATAATTTATAACTTGATGTATAACTATTTCATGGACGGTAAATATAAATATACCAATAGAATAGCATCTACACAAGCAAATATTTCATTAATATAAAAGTTCTGAGTGAATACTTTTGAAAAAATTCATATGAATTACTTTGCTAGCTTACACAAGACGATGAGCTTTCAGTGTTATACAATATTTAACATGTTTAACTTTTGTTTAAACTGGAATTAAATACTTTTCACCAATAAAAGTGCCTGTATGTTCAACGCCTCGTTCATTCAACAACACCAGAGTACATTAGGCCGACATGAAAGTGTTCCAAAGTATGAAAGCTTGTCTCATTAAAAAGCTGAAAGAAATAAACGTTTAGAATAGAAATATTTACCCCATGAAACAATAGTGGTATATTCACTTTAAACTGTTTAGCGTTTCACAATACGTTCATTAAAAAACATGCTCTGAACGTAGTACTGTCGTAATGGAATCGTGCTAAACCTGCACCTCTGTAATAGTTTATTGTGTAAGTACATAAAACAATAACCAGTCTTTCACATTGTTCTACTCATTTTCCTTAGGCCTTTATAGCTTTAACAAAGTGCAACACAAATGTGTTGACATGATGAAATGAGTTATTTTTTTTAAATAAATATTTTTTTATTTTCTACAGCAAATTAACCTATCTAAATTATTAAATTTTATAAACTTTCCAAGATATTTGACGATAGTCTTCTAAAAATTTGACATCACCAATAGTCATTTATTAGCTGGTCTTTGAGATATGCAGTTCTCTGACCAGATGACAGTAAAAAAAAAAACAACAACAACAAAAACTAAACGATAGTCTTCTAAAAATCTGACATCACCAATAGTCATTTATTAGCTGGTCTTTAAGATATGCAGTTCTTTGACCAGATGACAGTAAAAAAAACAAAACAACAACAACAAAAACTAAACGATAGTCTTCTAAAAATCTGACATCACTAATAGTCATTTATTAGCTGGTCTTTGAGATATACAGTTCTGTGACCAGATGACAGTAAAAAAAACAAAACAACAACAACAAAAACAAAGACCAAGCATCATCACCATATGCACGTGATAGGAAATTTAAAAAGTTTAACTGTTTCCAAGAACAAAATTTCCATAACATCTCATCATAACCATTTTATATGCGGGAAGTTAATTTGAACGACATAAGAATGCTATAGATTACCATTAAACCGCCTTTACTCAATCACTTAACAGCTTGTCACTCACTAATTATACGTTGTTTTTTTTTGGGGGGGGGGTTACGAATTTTTTTAATCACCAAATACGAGTTTTGAAGGATGAACAGCTGCATTGATTCCAATTAGCCCTTCAGTACTGTTTACAACTTACATGTTAAACATTCGAAATTAGTGAAACAAAAAAAGTACAGCAACAGCACAAAATATTTATTTATAAACAATATATATATCTTTTTAAAATAACAATATTATATTTGATTCGTCTATTTATAGATAGTAACTTGAAACTGGTCTATTTATGAAAGGATCAGAAAACGAAAATCATGAATTATGAAGAGCAATCATAGTAATTGGCTACTAGAAGAGCTGTTGCTGGCTGTTTGGGAGGACTCCTACTTTTGAGGAGGGGAGTCAAACTAAATCTTGGTTTGATTGTTCATTAATCTGGCCATAGTAATTAGTAGCGCTGGACATCTAGCGATGAAAGCAACAACAAAACAAAAACATAAAAACACTATTAAATTTACTATTATAAATAAAGCTTGAACCATTTAGAGGAATATTACATTTCATTAGTATAACCCTGAGCTATCCCAAAGCACATCTAGCGGTGAAAAAATAAGATATAATATAAAAATACTATTAAATTAAATCGTACAAATAATAGTTAAATTTCATCTTTTGCTTTAGCCTACAACAGTTACTTATGATAGGTAATGGTGTTCTCTATAAACTAGATGTACTTTCGCAGGGTCCCAGAAAGTGTTCTGTTTCGAGAGTAAATAAAACCAAAATTAAGAGTAACAAATATTTAAAATTTTTGCTTTTGAAGTTTACATGTCATGCTGTATTGTAGCCTACAGAGTGCATAATTTTTCTCGTGATTCATGGCATGCACACGTTTTACTGACGTCACAATAGTACAAACTACAACGTTAAGCGTCTCTTATGTGACGTCATTTTAGTGTCTATTGACTGACTGATAGACAACACATTACTATATAGTGGTGACCCCTCCAGGCGGCCTTCAGCCCCTTTTCGGGGAAATTATTCATTGGCATTGATATTTGTAACGTTTTTAGTGAAAAATATAGATTTATCAAATTCAAAAATAAACAATGTAAAGACGATATATAAACTTACTGGAATTAACATTTTCGAAAAAAAAAGTTAAAAGAAATATGTTTTATTAGTGACCTTGGGTGAGACCTGACAACAATATGTTACTCGGGTTTTTAGTTACACATGTTTTTATACTTTATAGATTTTTTGGATATATGTAAATTGTATTTTTTATTGCTTTAGTTCGAATGAAGGATTGAGGGTGAATATATGCAGTGGCCGTTTAAAATATATATATATTTGTAAAAAGATTCCCTAAAATCAGGCTAGTCTAGAGGATGGATAAAAATAGAACAAGCAAACGATCTTTGTTTTGCATTACTGAATAATAGTGGTTAAAAGGTGTATTACATATACGCCATTCGCATATGAAAACAACCTGATATGACTGAACGTGGTTTTATATTTCTTCACTTCACTACAACTTCATTTATATACATTTCATAATGACTCCTCATTGGTTTATTGGTTATTTATAGATGTTATAAGCACCAATCAAAGATCGTGTAGTTTTTACTCTAATAAATTAATAGTATTTATGTTCTGCGAGTTAATTTATGATGATAGAAATAAATACAACATTTATATGGATTATTATAGCTTATTTACATATCACTACTAAATCAAAGTTTAATAAAAAGGATCACAGCGAGAAGCATGCGCACTCTGTATACTACTTCACACTGGGCAACAAACTTTGTAATTATGACCAGATGAAGTTTTAGTTTCGAGCAGTCTGAGCTCACATTAAACAAAATAGATCGACAATATAGAATATCACAGAATAATAGCTAATTATGCATTTAAAGCAAATAACTTACCTGGTTTATCGACCATTTTTGGAGGCTTTCCAGCATACAGCTGGCTCAAACACCATTCACTACTAACTATTGTCAGTGTTTTTGGAGGATGTCCAGCATACAGCCGGCTCAAACACGACCATTGACAACTAACTATTGTCAGTGTTTTTCGAGGTGTCCATCATACAGCCGGCTCAAACATGACCATTGACTATTAACTTTTGTGAGTGTTATTGGAAGTTGTCCAGCATACAGTCGGCTCAAACACGACCATTCACTACTAACTTCTGTCATTGTTTTAGGAGGATGTCCAGCATACAGCCGGCTCAAACACGACCATTGACTACTAACTTTTGTCAGTGTTGTTGGAGGTTGTCCAGCATACAGTCGGCTCAAACACGACCATTCACTACTAACTTCTGTCAGTGTTGTTGGAGGCTATCCAGCATACAGCCGGCTCAAACACTCAGTGTTCGTTATTCCTATTTTATATTATAGTAAAAGCCATAGTGTGAAATGAAGCTTGCATGAGCGACCTGTTTTTAAAAATAAAGAACATTTTAAAGTTGTTTAATCCAATACTTAGGTTTTTCAAGATTCGTAAACTGAAGACAGAACTACAACGAGCCTAAATAAACGGATGGTTTTCATAATTCAGTAATAAAATCTGAGTCCTCAGAACAAACTTACACGAGTTGCTACATTTTTTCATATTTGTATTTTTTTAAATTCGTTCATATTCTAATATGTTTTAACTTTTGCTTCTTGGTCGTATTTTATTTTAATAGCAACAACAACACGAAAATACTATTTTAATCCTTTAACGATTATTTGATTTAAATTCCACTTGTCTAACAGTCCTATTTATAAGTAATATTTTTTCTTTATATTTTTAACATTGTCCAGTTGGAAAAATAAATTACTCAAAATTAAAACAGATCAAATTTGCAACAACTGTATATTATTTCTTCCTTGGAGAAATGTAACTTGATTCCAAATTGATTTTCCACTCAACTAAGCCTATAACTCGTTGTCACAGTATATTGAGTGAAAGAAGATAGCCTAAGTTTCAGATTTAAAATAACATTTCTCTTATTTCTGATAACATCAGGTTAGAGACATATATCTCTATTCTAAGCCTGAAAGTACTGTAACTTTGAATATATCAGCAACATTGTTACAAATTGTGAAATTGCAGACAAACGCCCGCGTAATTTAATCGTTATGGTCCCCCAGTATTTCTGCGGACTTACAACGCTAGAAACCGGATTTCGATACCTGTGGTGGACAGAGCACAGATAGTCCATTGTGTAGATTTGGGGTTAACTTCAAACAAACCAACTAATCGTTGTGACTTTGTGACTTAAAATTACTGTTTAAATTAGGATCCTACAGCTTCCAAAAAATTAAAAACTTTTAAAGGAGCTATATTAACGCGAAATCTGTATATATATATTTCAACGAGTTTAAATCTTTTATTTTACGTTTAATACTTAATCATTCAATATTTAAACTACCATATTCCAAAATTAAGTCGTTGATAAATAACACGAATCCACGATTGAAACCTGTCCCTATTAATAGGTTCCTCCTTCACTAGTTATATGATTATTCTTCCATAAATTTCCCGCCAAATAAATCTCCCTTGTACACTGTTTTGGTTTGTCGTTAAGCGCAAACCTTCACAATGGGCTTTTTGTGCTGTGCTCACTGCGAGTATCGAAAACCGATTTTTAACGTTATAAGTCCTCAGACTTATCGCTAAGCCACAGGGGTGGGGGAGACTTTGAGCACCTTTTTATTGTTCATTAAGTTTAATATTTTTTTGATTCTATACTTAATATACTCAAAACTATTCTTGAAATGCAGAACTAAAACATTCCATGCTACTGGTTTTTTTATGATCCGTAAACGTTTTAAAGCTTTATTGAATTGGTCTGGTTTTAATTAAGCACAAAGCTTCACAATGTGCTATACCCACTACGGGTATCGAAACCCGAATGTCACTTGGGGCACTTTATTAAACAACTAAATTTTTACCATACATATCTACTTCGTTAGATTTATTGGAAAATAGTTTGCTCTCAATTTTATATTTCCTTCCTTCCTATCAAAATTAATTAAAAATAAATAATTTTACTCTTTTCGTTATACCTCGTCAGAAAGGGATTAGTTAAGAGTTGGATCAAAATTCGTTTTAGGAAAATGGACTTTTAACAATAGCATTTTGCTTTCTTTTTTTTATTTGGTAAAAATATTCCTTTTACGTACATATTTGTATAATCTGTAGTTTTACTTTTATGGATAAACAGTGGTTCTATAAATGTGTATTAATATGTATCTGTTATAAATCAATGAACATCAGAAAAGCCAAAAGCCGAGCGATTTCGGAAAGGCGGACCTTCCTTCTTTAGATTGAGTGTACGAGGCCTAGAGGTTAGTGTGTTCGATCTGTGAATCCGAAAATTTCAGGTTCGCATCCCGTTGTCGCAAAAACGCGCTCCGCGCTTTTGAAATGTGAGTATAGCAATATGAAATGACGGTCAAATCCCACAATTTGGACTAATAAAAGTAGCCCAAGAGTTGGCGTTGAGAGATGCTCTTCCCTCTAACTTATCAGTTCAAATTTAGGGATAACTATGTGTAGATAGTCCGCCCTCTGTGTAGCCTTACGTGAACATTTTGAAACAAACAACAAAAATGCCTTCTTCAAGGTTGCACATAGTAACGTCATAAGCCATGACGTAACATATATCTATTTGTTACGTTTGTGACATTCAAGTCATTTTCTTTTAATAATGAGTTAAGTTAAGTACGACGTATGATTTGTTTTGAATGCACCGTTGAAAACTTCTCCTATTTCAACGATAGGTAAGTATAGTGTGAGGAGTATTTTGAACAACATCGCTTTCAGTTGCATTTCATATTTTGTTGTTTTCAATCTATCTTAAATGGCTAATTCCAGCTATGTAATATGTATTTTCTTACAAGAGCCTTCAAACTTGTAGTCTTCAGACCACATATTGACTTTGGCTCGATTTCTAATTGATAGTCTCCAAAGTATTTTGTTTTATGTAACGTTTTATTATGTTCTGCTATTATTTTAAGGTTTTGATTTGGGGAAACGCTTTTTATTTCATTAATTGTGACGCTATCGGCAAGTGAGTGCCTCTCTTTTTTTAAGTTTTATTAACACAGAATTTTAAAAAAATCGAATATTTAATACATTAAAAAATAATAGAAGGGGCGATTGTTACCTTTACGTTTATCACAATTTTCAAAATTATTTGCTTTGATAAATCAACTTTATAAAGAGAACCGTTTCCTAAAGGATTATTATAAAACACTGAACTTAAATATAAAACTATTTCAGTTGTATTCAGTACATAATTATGGTGTTATTTTTTTTTCTGTTTAAATGTTAAATACGAGGATATTTTTATGATGTTAAATCTTGTATTTATTGTATTTCACTCATCTTAAACTTAATTAGTTGTCCATAAAAACTGGTATAAAACTTGCAATAAATAAAAACTGTAAGGCGGTAAAAATCCCTGGTAACTTTCTTTACATATCAGTTTAGTAACTGATTTACTATACATTTATTTTTATTTTTAGATGAAGCTTAGAAAATAAGGCCAGTAAGCCTTACCAGTATACATTTCCTCCTGGAAAACATTTCATGCAGGAAATAGAAGCCATTGCCGATAATCATTACTTCTTTCTTAGTTGGCTTCCTTGCTCCGCCGTTGCTAATTTTGTGGAGATCAGCGACGCATGCAGTCATTCCTTTGTGTGGTATGAAATCGTGAACAGCGCACTGCACAACTTACAAGTTACAGTGCATGCTACGCAGGTCGGCGCACTGTTCGCTTATAGTGCACGATACGTGACAAGCTGTTGTTTCTCCCAAGCTGACTGTACTGAAACCCCAGATATTTAAAATTTAACTTGATATTTCACTGTAGCGTTCTAATTAAATTTTGAAATCTTAGACACAAAAGTTACATTATTTTTTACTTCCAAAATTCTCAGTATTAATAATGGTTCTTAAAATATATAAGAATTGAGTTAATGACACTTCAACAACAAATTATGTAATAATCCTATAACTTTAACTTGATTTGGAGTTCTAAGAGAGGGAATTGGAAGATTACGTAATTAGTCTAACAAAGGATACAAATCTTTTGTATAGGCGAAAGAAAAAAAAATGACATCGGAAGGACTTGGCCATACTTAAAAAAAAAAAGTGCCTTGAGTAAACAAGTTTATAAACAGCCGGGCTGTTGGCAGCAGAACAGAAAATCAGAGAAACCGAGCCTTGATGTGGAAACGTCCAGGATCCGTGGTGCAAACAGTTCTTTAATATAAACGAAAGCTAGATAGCGAATTAATTAGGTTGGTGTTGACAGGTACATTTTTACATTTTATTTCCATCTGTTTATATGTTTAGACACATACGAAAAGTTAATTTATTTTTGTCTTCACGTTTACATAACAATAAACCCAAATTCCCGTGCAGCTTTGATAGCTTAATTAACGACGTTTTGCACGCAGTTGTACCTAAAACTCGAGGATCCAAAAGGCTTAGTTTGTGGTTAAAAGAAGTAAACGGTGAGATTTGCAGACGTGAGTCTTCTTCTTCGAGGCTTCACTTCCAGAAAATTCCTTTATATTTAGGAGATCATTTATCGGCATCTGTTTCGGTTTTGCTATTTAAAAGAGGTAAATCTCGGGGATTTATTCATAGTAAATCAATTGATAATATTCCCTCTGTTGAAACATGCAGATATAAAAGGGAAATATTTCGTCATTGCTCGGTGAATAAAAATAACATATGTATATTCCATCCAACTTCTCGTAATCACATCTGCGTTTCGCCGCCAATCATTTTGTGTACGGTCGGCCAGAATTAGAAAATATGCATTTAACAGTTTGTATAATAACCTAATAATAAATTCTGGGCTACACCAAAATTTACAGAAGTAACCGTTTATTGTGCTATGTTGTTTTGCGTGACATAACCTTAACGGATTTTTTATTACGTAAATTTCTATTTTACTAACTAGTGTATGAAATAAACAAAGTTTTAACCATTTATTTTTGCATAAAAACAACATTCAGACTGAAAACTAACTCTCAAATGAGAGAGTTATGTACCAGGACTAAGATTGGTGCAATAATATAGAAACAAGATATACCGGAAAAGCGTGCAGCGCAGGGATTGGTCAGTGGCGTGACCTCATCAGGCAAACTCTACTGGAGGTTTTATTTCTTTATTTGTTTGTTTTAGAGCTAAGCCACATTGAACTATCTGCTGTATCCATCTTAGAGAATCAAACCCCGAATTTTATTGTTGTAAGTCCATAAACTTATCGCCATCCCACCGGGTACTTACCAGAAAAAAAATTAGTTTTAAGTATACCTGCAACAAATGTATAGTCGCTAGTTTTCAAATGTAATTATTAATGTGTGAAAGAAAACTTACAGTTAGTAATTTATCATATGAAAAATAATCATAATAATGAATCTAATGTAAAACTGATACATAAGATGGTATACATGGGACATGCCATAATAGAAGTAATCTACAGAATGTCAAAATCAATGTATAAACATTTGATAATACTAAAATTAAACACCACTAACTTGACATGGATATTGGTAATCGCTGAAGTCCTTTGGTTAAGAAATTTAAACAAGTTCAATTATTAGTGCAATTGGCCCCCTGTGGCGGTAAATCTGCGGGCTCACACCGCAAAAAACCCGGTTTTGATACTCGTGGAGGGCACAGCGCAGATAGCTTGTTGCGTAGCTTTGAGCTTAACAACAAACAAATACATGTTGTAATCCTAACTCAAAATCTGTACCAAAATAATATCAATTGAAAAATAACATCTACTGATGTTGGTAACGATTTAAGAACCAATACATTGAATAATCAATTTATATAATGTTGGTGGTACCTGAAGGCTGATTTATGCAAACAATTATATAATGCAGTTATCAGTAGAAAAATAGCATAGCCAGATTGCCTACAGACCTTTGATTAGATGCTGATAGTATAATATCATTGGCTTTTATTTTATTGATAATAGCTTTCTTGTTGGACCAGGTCTTGTTGTAATGTTTCTACTACATTTTTTGCGTGTTAAATTGCTTTAAATAAATGTAATATGTAAAAGTTATCTGTTGTAGTGTTCGAGTTAAAAGTTGCATTATTTTATGCGTAATAATTTTAATTTAATAATAGTGCTAGTGTATTATATGTTTAATACTATACATAATACTTAGTTGGTGTCTTGTAAACAGGCTTAATTTTACTTAATTTTGATTCTGTGTCGTCTGCAAGTGAATTGCATGGTAACGTCAAAGTTCAGAGGACAGCCTAACTCCAAGATAGCAAAAATCCGCGTTCTGGCATACCCAGTCTGTATAATAAACTTATCCAAGACCAAGACTGGAAAACGTGAGCCACCTGGTGTTTAAATTAGTTTAATTATAATGTATACTACGCTACTGACGCCCAAGTTTGGAAAAAAATAAAAATTCGTTTGGCCAAAACCTAAGCAGCTAAAAGGATCTGGTGCATGACCTTTATGAGCCGAAAAATGTTTTTCATTTTAAGCAGATACATCTTTGTCATAGTGTAGGATAAACACATATGTAAACCTTCATATATTATTCAAAGTTCGTAGATACTCTGTTTATTTTGGTGCAAAGCCACACATTGAACTATCTGAACTCTGTCCACTGCGGGAAATCTAGCCCCTGACTCAGCGGGGAACTCATTGATGCTCCCAGCTTTCGCTGAAGCATTGCTACCACTTTTTTTTTTTTTTACAATACGCTATTGTGAAATATATAAGTTTATAACTACGTGATGCTACTTCCCACAGTTCGGAAATTCAAAGCCAATAGCCGCTTGATTGCAGAGGCTTTAGAAACCGAACTTTATAAACTGGGATAACACACAATGAAGAACGTTTTTTCTAAACTATCATAAATGTAGCAGGGTTCTTCAAGAATGATAGTGTCCGACTGGAATGTCAGTGGACTTAGGGTTAACATTTTAGTAAGTTAGTCATGTCAGTTTACTGAACCAGCTGTGTGTATGTGTTGACATATTTAATATTCCAACGGTGTATATTAACATGGAATTAACTCGACTTAAAATGGCTTTCTCAAACCACTTTGCTAATATGGGTTTTGCTTTCTTGAGAGTAAATCAGTATTACAATTTTATTTGCCCCTGTAACACCAGACAATAAAAATACTATACTCTGTCGTTGAGGAGAGATGTTTGTTATTCTCTTAAGGAGGAGAAGTTCTAAAAATCGATCTCCGCTGAAAGCACTGTGAACACATGTTGTGCTCTAACTACTATAGAAACAAAGAAGACGTCACGCAACGAAACACGTAAGTGATATTCGAGTATCGTGCACGCTGCATACCCTAAAGTTACACGTGTTCTGCTTTCCATTGTGAAATAGTTTACCAAATCATCAATATCTACAGTTACAGAAAGGCATTTGTGGTACTCAGGCAACCACTTTGATCTTTCCGAAACAAGTGAAAAAGTTTAAACGACACGAAGAGATTCGAGCGTTTCTGAACGAACACGGTTTATGCAGGAAATGCAAATAATAACATTTTACGATTAGGCAAACTATTTACGCTCGCTATCCCTAATCTCAAAATAAAACAGCGTCATCTTCAGGTAAACATATCAGGTTCAACTTTTTGACATCGTCATCTTTAAATAAACACATAGGGTTTTGATTTTTGACATCTTCATCTTCAGATAAATATATCAAGTTCTGCTTCTCGACGACTTCATCTTCACTTAAACATATTAGGTTCAATTTTTTGACAGCTTCATCTTCAGATAAAAATATCAAGTCACGCTTCTCCACAGCTTCATCTTCACTTAAACATATTAGGCTCAATTTTTTGACAGCGTCATCTTCAGATAAAAATATGAAGTCCTGATTTTTTGACGGCGCCATCTTTAGATAAACAAATTTCACTTTTCGACAACGTCGTCTTCAAATACATATATCAGGTTTTATCCTTCGTACAGTACATTACCCTAACATTCGTATGTTTTCTACAGTGTGCAGCTTATTTTCAGATACTGTTAGTGTTCCCTTATTAGGTTATATTTTTTATTTGTCACTGTAAAACCTACAGATATACTTACTCCTGTATATGTAAGTCACTGTACAATCTACAGATATACTCACTCCTGTATATGTTAGTCACTGTACAATCTACAGATATACTCACTCCTGTATATGTTAGTCACTGTACAATCTACAGATATACTTACTCCTGTATATGTTAGTCACTGTACAATCTACAGATATACTCACTCCTGTATATGTTAGTCACTGTACAATCTACAGATATACTCACTCCTGTATATGTTAGTCACTGTACAATCTACAGATATACTTACTCCTGTATATGTAAGTCACTGTACAATCTACAGATATATTCTCACTCCTGTCTATGTTAGTCACTGTAAAATCTACAGATATACTCACTCCTGTATATGTTAGTCACTGTAAAATCTACAGATATACTCACTCCTGTATATGTTAGTCACTGTAAAACCTACAGATATACTTACTCCTGTATATGTAAGTCACTGTACAATCTACAGATATATTCTCACTCCTGTATATGTTAGTCACTGTAAAATCTACAGATATACATACTCCTGTAAGTAAATCGTGAAAAAAATCTGCAATTGTACCTATCAAAGAAAATGTAGTTTCGTGTGTTCTGTTGAATAGACAAGATACGATGTTAACGATGAATCACGTAAGCTGTATTTAATCACCTTATCTTTACAGCGCTCTCTTTCCTAC